CTAGGAGCTAGAAAAGAGACAAAGGTATCTACTATTCATTAAAGTATAATCATACCATGTAATATCACAGATTGATTGTAGTTGACTCCTCCAATCATTGCTATACAGCTAACATTAACTGACACTCCCAGTGGATCAGGATATACCAGTAGTGTGTTGTTGTATGTCAGGACATCAATTAATGAATAGTTTGAGCTACTCTTCATCACTCCCTTCACTAACCAGTAAACATCAGTTGAAGGATTTATAATTTCAGTAGTTCTGAGACAATCAATACGATATTGAGTGTTATTGAGTTGTGTGATAGATGAGACTAGTGTCCAATTGATTGAATTAATAACTAGAAATACATCAACAATGTTACAAGTACATTAAAAGGTGCAGTAGCAATACCTGGTAAGGTCTGTACACTGATTGTACTACTAGCAGGTCCCAGTAATTGTTGATAGGCTCTGACTGTGATGCTGTAAGTTGTTCCTCCTCTCAGTCCATTCAGTGTGATTGCATTATTACTACTTCCCTCCACCTGTACTGTCTGCACAGTGTCTATGTCACTAGTGACATTGACTACATATCCATCAGCATCAGATGAATTAAGTGCAGTCCAACTGACAGTGATAGTGGTAGCTGTCTTGTTGACCTCAGTAAGAGAAGAGGGAGCAGTTGCTGGTACTATAAAAAATAATAAAGTCATTTTATTGCTACTTACCTGTTACAAAAATGTCTCTATTTCTTTTTACTGGGTTGTGATGGATATGACCAAAATCTAAATAGAATCTAAATACATGATCCCCATTGTTGTTTGATTGGCTCAGTACTCCACTAGCAATAGTCTCTCCATTCCAAGTAACAGTTAGAGTATAGTCCCACCTTCCATTACCATAATCTACTGACATTCCATCACCATACATGAATGTACAACTGTATGAGGCCCTAGATCCAGTGCAGAGTTCAGCACTACTGCTACCAGACACATAGTACCAATTGGCTTTATGTAAAAAAGGATCGTGATCATTACTACCAATTTTAATGGCATGCAGTGTATATGTTTGAGGTAGAGCTGTTTTATCTGAGGGAAGGTCAACTGTAATATTTTCAATCTGTACCCATCCTACAGTAAATCAGTAACAAAATGGCAGTGTGTACTAGTTTAATGAGAACACTTACTGAATATATTAGCAAAGATAATGTTAGTGTTAGGATCTGAGCAATTAGTGGGTAGACAACACTTGTACCAGCCATCATCAAATGGTGTAATGCTTCCATCAATGTAGAGACTTATGTTAGCATTAGGTAAAAATACCTCATTACAACGAAGAGGATTAGTACTACTACTGCAGTCAACTGATGATTTACTAGTAACATTAACCCACTCTCCATCAGTCAGATCAGTATCAGGTAACACACACATGATACTGTTACTGGCTCCTTTAATATCAGCATCAAAAAAATATGATCCATTAGTATAACAGGTTCCATCATGCGTCAGATAGATACCTATAAAAACCTATACAGTTGTTATTATACACATCCAGTGTCTTACCTGAGAAAGGTGGACATTGACTAATAACTTCATTGACACTCAACAAGAAGACAACAGTGACTAGTACAGAGTACATTTTACGCTTCATTCCCACAACTAATGATAGCTAATTAAGCACATCATTTATAAAGGCACTCCTCTACTATATACATGTACATGTACATGTAATTTGCTATAAAGTATCAATACAGTTATAGTACATGCATAATATAGCAATATTGATGATTACAACACTCCACAGTAAAGAAAAATAGCAGTATTGTTTATGCATATGTGGTTAGAGTCTACTGCTAATTGCTGTTGTTGTTCCTGTGGGTGTTGCCTAACTACAATGATTTTTTTTGAGGTTGTTGTAGGTGTAATTGGAATAAGGTAGCAATTCTTTTCCTCAAACCTAATGCACCAAATGGTCACATGAACCAATACTGAATGACATACCCATAAGAGCTGATGGTTTGGTGTCCCTCACTAACAAATCAGCTTCTCTATCAACCAGTTCAACTATCTCTCTTGTTAGCTTACAGTCATGCTCCTGGAGAAGTTCTTATAGTTACACATGCTCTCCCTTCTCCCTCCTTACCCTAACAGTGGCTTTCACTGTTAACAGGATATCAAGTCTCTCATCTTTGGCTAGTGTC